CTGCATTCCCTACAAATAAGGCCTGCCTCTGTTTATTTTATTCTTTGCCAATAGCAATTAAAGTAGTAATATGTGGTACCAAAGTGACCATCATGACAAACAAAAATGTGAGCCCTAAACTCTCATCCTTGATTATTAGGTCATCTTCCAGATGGTTCAGAACATGATTATTTTATGGTTTTTAGATAATCATCAAAATGTACACACAAAATCTAAAAATCCCCTAGAGAACTCATGGCTGTTTTTCAGAGAGAATTCCACCGATGCCCAAGTGAATTCTTCCTTATGGTCAACTAAAACGCTCCTTGAAGGCCTGCATCACATCTGCCTCATCTCAAACACTATCCTGGTGTTGATGTCAGTACCTAATATGAGTATATATTGAAACATATGTGTAGAAGAATAAAAATAAAGGAATCATTTCCCCACCTACTAGTAGCTCTGCTGCTGTCTGGGAGTGTAAGAAGATCAAGCCTAACACCATGAGGGAAGTTTTTGTTTGTATACTTGCAATTTCCACTTCAGATTCCTGTAGCATGAGTTCTTAGCCAAGCAATGAGCTTTATGTCATAAGAGGATCTTGCTTTTATCATTCTGTCCTCAATGGTTCTTTTATAGATGAAGGATGTGTTGTAAGAAGATGGGAACGCAGTCATTGCTCACCGGCCTTTTTATACGCCCGGATCAATTAGAAGTGAAATAATATGTTAGAAGTCTAAAGGAAATTAGGCCTTTATTTTTTTATTAAATCATATTCTGTGAATTAAGGAAATGATCACAACATCTTAGAATCACATTGGCAAGGTCCTTTGATTTCAATCAGCCAACTTTATGAATGAGTCAAGTTAATATTAAAGAAGTTAACCCTCTCGTGCATGGCCACAGTTTTGTGGCAGAGCAAGGACAATAATGGCGCTCTACAATTCTCGTAGGCATGATGATGAAGAAGCTGAGAGAACAAAGTTAGCAAGATTGTCATCACTCAGTCATTTACCTCACTCTCTGTCATTTACCCCAACCAACACCACTACATAACTTAGATATACAATAGAAATAGCATGCTCAAGGAAAGGGTATAAAAAAGTGAGGATAGGTATAACACACTTGATGTTTTTCATATACAGCTTGGTATGATTTTAACCAAATACAGTGATTATTTCGACTAGGAGTTCTCAGTCCTGGATATACAATTGAGTTACCAGTGAGCTGTTAAAAACATCTATACTCAGAGGTCAGAAGGTGGCATGGTGGTTAAGGTACTGAACTCACACACTGGCCAACTGTAGTTCAAATTCTGGATCTGGAGGCTAGAGAATAGGCCAGGTGCACATGCATGTGTGCTCAAAATCTTTAGAGGGGGACCAGCAGATGGCGTGATGGTTACAACTCCCACATAGTCAACCGTGGTTTGAGTGCCAGACCCAATGGTTTAAAACTCATGCCAAGTGCATGTGTGTGCATGCCCAGAATCCCTAGAGGAGAATGGAGGAGAGGGGATTACGGCATGGCCATTCCCTTGGGGGATGATTTCTTGTTTTCTGTCAGTCTTTCTGGCAAGCGCACATACCCTACAGCAAAAATCACTCTCTAAAAAAAATGGTCCTGAGGGGAGAATGAAGAAGAAGAGATTGTAGCATGCCCAACCCCCCCCTGGGGGGTAAGTTCTCACTTTCTTTCTCACTTTCTCTCTTGGGAGTGTACATACCCTATGGCAAAAACCACAAACAACAAACAAACAAACAAACAAAAGAAAACCTCCATTACTTAACAATCACGAAAGTACTACTCAGGACATCATTTTAAGTTTCATCTTTCTTTCTTCCCTGAGTGATGTAAACACACATACCCCTAGACATTCCCAACAGGGCCTTTACTCCACATTACAAACCCAACTCCACCCACCCCCCCCAATCATGAGCACATGTCTGACACATTTAAGAAGATCTCTGGATAAAAACCCAGAACTCCAGGTGGATCAGCCTTAAGAGCATGGCATTACTGCTGTGCCACTGTCCAGCTCCAACATCACCAGTTCATGGTGTTCCCCAGGTAGGGCCTGGTGGCATGGTGGTTAGGGCACTGACTCCCACATGGCTGACTGTGTGGTTTGAATCCCAAACCCAGTGGCTTCAAAACTATGCCAGGCACATGTGCATATGTGTCCAAAAATCTTGAGAAAAGAATGAAGGAGTAGAGTTTGTGGTGTGGCCATCCTCATCTGACTTTTCACTTCTCCTTTTCTCTCTGTTTCACTCTGGCAAGCATACACATGCCCTATAGCAAAACTTAAAAGAGTTCCCCAGGTAATCCTAAAGCTAGACAGGATTGCATACTATTAGTTTAGAACAATGTCACTCAACCTTGACTATGCATAAGATACTGAAGATCCAAAAGAAACTTAAGTAGAAACTCATGATTGTTTAAAAACTCCCCAGGGATTCTAAGCACTAGGGACAACTTATCAGAAAATGGCTTTTTTAAGTTTCTTTTATAGTTTATCTATTAGGTCATCAGAAAAGTCATGATGTTTTGTTCTTTTTTTTATGTTTTTCTATGCAAAGATACATCATGACTTTTCTGACAACCTAATATTTTAAATAAAAAATCTCGAAAGAAACTCTAGCATGTACAACAGCAAAGCAGCAGAACTCCTCTGCTTAAAGCAGG